TAATTGTTCTAACAAGACAAGCTTGCTAACTATTACACCATCTCGATATGCCCATGATAGTGATTTTCCAAGCGTTGCTTAGATGTGGCACAAGGCAGAAAGTGTGGGATACCCAATGAGGATCGAACTAACTGTTCTGTCGTAATTGTTCTAGCGAGACAAGCTTGTTAACCATTACACAGCCTCGAGGTAGACAAGTGTTCCAACTTTATAGTGATTTTCCAAGCGTAGCTCAGATGTGACACAAAGCCGACAGTATAGAGTACCCAGTGATGATCGAACCCACTATTCTGTCGTAATCGTTCTAGCGAGGCAAGCGCTTGCTACCCATTACACCGCCTTGAGGTGCCCAAGTGTTCCAACGTTATATAGCCGCAAGCTAGCGTCTTTAAATGTTTATCAATTTATTATTAATATACATTAAGAATTAATAATGTAGAAGAATGTCTTTTTATGCTTATGATTCATAGACTGCGTAAAAGCATTTGATAAGGTACGACATAAAGTCTTGTTTGGACTGTTACGGAAACTTGATTTATTTGGGAAAGGTTTTTGGAAAATTTCCAAACATTACATTGGAGACAAATCGCCTGCATCCGGATAGAAAATGAATTGAGTAAGCACACAAAAATAGAAAGAGGCGTATGACGTCTCTCGTCGGATATATTCCGGCCTAACAGCGAATCAATCCTACGAGAACTAGAAATCCTTCCAGGATATGTTCAGTAGCCACAATCTAAATAAAATAAGATGACACCGTATTAATCGCAGGCACAGGAAGAAAACTGCAGGAACTCCTACGAGAAGAGATGCCAATCAAGAATACAGAATATATGTTTGCTCGTTTGCATTTGAAGCAGTCCAAGACGCAAGCTACGAATTACAGGATTTGAAATATTTTGGAAGTCTTTTAACAGATGCCGGAAAGTATCACACCGAAATTTAAAGATACATTGAAATAGCGTTAATTGCCTTCTTATAATTACACATGGATAGCGACTCGGATCGAGGAATCAGAGAACCGAGTTCGAATTCCAGTCGAATCCGTTACATTCACTTACGTGCTAATACCCTTGGGAAAGGTATGAATCCTCTTCTTTCCCCCTAGCTTTGGGTAAATAGCAGGACAGATCGGGTTCTATAACCTTGGATGGCAACTGGTCTACCGGAGAAGGTAATGGCAACCTACTGAGGGAAAAAAATCTGCTTCGTCAGTCATGTATCGAAAGATACATGGTCGCCTAAGCGTGTATCACGCATGGCACATAAGTGAACTGATATTCATTTGTGATAATACTCTTGGGAAAGGTATGAATCCTCTTCTTCTCCCATTAGCTATGGGTAATTAGCAGGACAGACCGGGTTCTATGGCCTTGGATGGCAACTGGCAAACTACTGCGGGAAAAATCTGTTTCGTCAGTTATATATTGAAAGATACATATTTGCCTAAGCGTGTATCACGTATGACACATTACTGACTACTAAATATTACACAATTTCGTTAGAAAAAGAAAAGAATCTTGAACCTGCTGTGTAATATCGATCTGCTCGATATGGCGATTCAAACACCTACTGAAGTCAGTTCTGGGTATGACAATAAACTACATCAGCGTCCTGGGTAAGATGATAAACTACGTCCAACAGCAAGACCTCTGAGGTTTTGAGGGGCGTGGAGCCACATCTCAATTACTAGTGTTCCCAGGTCCACCCTGACCCGTGGTGGTAGCACCTGTTACAGTGTCATCTATGGATAAATAGTTAAACCACAAACTGAGGTCAAAACACTATGAAAGTGTAAAAATAGGTTTTAATACTAGAAATACTTTGTATAAAATTATTACCAGCAATAAATTTTTAAAGAAAATTTATTACCATTTATTAATAAATATTATTTATTATATTATTATTTTTGGAAAAAATTGACAGTAATAAAAATCTTGTCGGCATTAAGTAACCCATTTATGTTGCTGTAAACCAAGCCAAACTAAACCAAACCAAACCAAACCTACTGAGGGCAAGAGGGACAAAGTAAAACAGTGTGTAACCTACCTAACTGCTTGTGTAAATCGATGGCAGAACACTGATGGGGAGAGACAAATGGGAGATTGTGAAGAGACATGATCACCACCTTTCTGAAGAATACGAATATTTCGATTGCCAGCAATACTGTCCCGATAGCTACCTTTGGTGATGAGAAGGACAATGAAAAAAGAATCGTTTAATCAAGATTAAGATAGGCGGGAAGGAAGCGGCAAGGTTTGTTTTGTTTGTTTTTTCTGTTAGTAAGCAATATGGCGAACGGGTAGATAGAAAATTAAGATAACCTACTTGTAACGTTCTCCGTTCGAAAAGTGCAAATTCAAGCGAAGTAATTTCCTGCCGATGTTAGTTTCCGTCTCTTAATTTATTCGAGAATGATCTGGACCTTTTAAAACATAGCACCCGGCCCCGCTGGATAATTTTAGCACAAACATCCGAGGGAAGGAGAATAAACGAGATTGTTGATAGTGTTTTGAGTTCTCGCCGAAGGCAATATTCAAATGAGATTTTGAAGATTATGGTGGGATCTCAAAGGTTATACGATTGAAGGGAGACTACTGGTTGATATCGATTGCTGAATTGTGATGGCGTATTTATTTATGGCGCAAATTAACCCATTTAATCTACAACGTGAACAACGATATAGGAGAGCGTTGAAAATGCCATACGGTGAACGCTGCCATTTTACTAAAGAGACAATGGTTTTTGCGACCTAACTGCCCGTTAATACTTCGACCTTCAGTAACATGACCCGATGATTGATGGTTGTTGAGGGATCCACTCCTTTTTACACAAATGGACTCACCCAGTATATACATATACTACTGCTACGGTAAGACGAGAGTAAGACGAGAGCAAGACCGAAGATTCGAGTCCAGAGTGACAGAGCAAAAGGTTGTAGGTAACCGGAAGAGTGAGGGTGAGGTAACAGCGTTGCAGGAGTCACAGTGAGCGAACACGTAGACTCAGTAAGAAGTCATACAGCGATACTTCAATACCAAAGACTGTATATATATATTTTGCGACTAACCCGTATTCCTGGAACTACTAACCTGCTTTACCAGTTTGTATTATTGCGTTAATATATTATTTTCATATATTCATTCCTGGCATTTGTTATTTATTGCTACCGGATTTCAACCCGAAATCCACAACAATGGTAAACCATTTCTCTATAATTATCTTACATATCCAGACTTTTCGATCTTGTCAGGGTACCAGTTGAAAACCTAATATTTAAAATTAGGCAGGAATATATATATATATATATATATATATATATATATATATATATATATATGGAATCATATTTTAAATAAATATATATATATATATATATATATATATATATATATATATATATATTTTTTTTTTTAAATATGATTCCATCGTGACACAGAAATTACTATGTTTGGAAAAGACGATTTTGATCCAGTGGTACCTCCTTTTCCTCAAAATTAAATAAATTCAGATCTGTTGGCGACAGTCACGCACTAAAACAAAGAAAAAATTACTGAACTGTTACATGATATATGTCTTCCTATATGGCAGTGAATGATATGAAACGAAAGAAATGTGGCTCTACAGAAAGATGCTAAGGATACCATGGACCTAACATGTGAGCAACAACGAGGTTTTAGAGAAAAAGGAAACATCAGGAAGAGGCATTTCTAGTGCATGTAATGAGGAAGGAGGTCTTGGAAAATCTGATACTCACAGGACAGATTGTGGGAAAAAGCGACGGAGAAAAACAGCGCGAAACAAACTTGATGGAATTAGGTAAATGGGTGGTAGAACAGAGTTTCAGAGAAATATCAAAAAAGACGAAATTAAGTAAGAGCTACAAGAGATAGAAAGATGTGGACGGCCATGATCGCCTACGTCCTGAGGGTATACGGTATGTAAAGAAGACAGGCCCTTTAGACTTTTGTTCAGGCAAAATCCGTTTATCCTTGATTACCACCAGAGTTGTGTCGATTCCGGAACACACTTTAAATCCGAAATTCGCATCTTTAACATGGCTGCTCGTTTCCGGGCATGCGCATCTGCTCAGTTTCACTTGTGTCTCTTCAACATCCACAAAGCCAACCTGTTCTATACTACAATTCTGCGGGGGAAGATACTAGTTAAAATTCAAGTATGTGCCACACCAGGGCCACATCGTTTCTTTTAAAGTATCGTATGTAATACCCTCATCGACGACTCATCCGAAATAGAGGCCCACAATGAAGTGCCGAGCTACAGTCTTCTGTTTCTTCGAAATATTGTACTAAGTCCGAGAATTACATCATTTTTTGTCACGGCTCGAAGTAGGGGCGCCACTTCCTTTCTTCGAGATGACATCCGAGTTTGATTCGTGTTTGAAGTTACCTTGTTCTAGCCTTTGCTTAAAGAAGCAAGACCTAGAATGTAGCAGATGGTTTAAATTAAGAGTTTCTTCCTACTAGACTGGTTGCCACCCAAGGCTATAGGACCCAATATGTCCTGCTATTTTAGCCATAGCTGAGGGGAGAAGGAGATAGATTAATACTTTCCAAGGGTATTAGCACGTAAATGAATGTAATGAACTCGACTGGAATTCGAACTCGGCTTTCCGTTTCCTCAATCCGAGCCACAATCCATTACTTCCCCCTGCCTCCACATGCAGTTTTGAATTCAGAGTTTTCTATCTCTTTTAACTGTCTGCCAACAGCAGTTAGAGAATCCAGTTTGCCAGGGTATTTAACCTGTAAGCTTGGGAGCAAGATTCATACCCGTCCCAAGAGTATTTTGAGCGAAAATGAACGTAACACATTTTGCCTGAATTTGAACTCAGTCCGCCGATTTCTCGTCTTGAAACTCTAACCATTTCACCGTGTGCACATCCATACCTCTTCGTTAGAAATTTCGATTTCTCCCAAACTAGTGTAATTTATACATAGGTCAATGATCAGGGGGCATTTAGTAAAGGAGTAGTTCTTATGACTGAGTTGGTACAAACCAGTGTGACCCCCCCCCATAGGCATCATAAGAGATTTTGAAAGCTTTAACACATTTCAAACTGTTTCAATCATTTAGTAGACCATTAAAGTCGAGTTTGGGTCAAGTCACAATTGACACGAAATAACTGAGGATCGAACTCACAACTGTCGTGACCAGTGTAACCAGAGCTCGATTATTTCTTTAATCTATTCACTTTTTCTTTTTTTCTTTCTTTCTTTTCCTTCTTTGTTTCTTTCTATATGATAACAATCTCTTTTTCATTTGTTTTACCCACCCCTAACCCCTAACTTCTTCCTCGTTTATTTCAGCAACGTTTTTGTTCTATCTTACTTTCTTTTCTTTCTTTCTTTCTTTTCTTTCTTTCTTTCTTTCTTTCTTTCTTTCTTTCTTTCTTTCTTTCTTTCTTTCTGTTAGGATTATGCAAACCCACACCTTTTTCTTTCTTTCTTTCTTTCTTTCGTTCTTTCTTTCTTTCTTTCTTTCTTTCTTTCTTTCTTTCTTTCTTTCTATAATCTCAGTCTCGTCTCTTTCTTCATTTATTTATTTATTTTATTGATTTTTATTTTTCTATAATCTCAGCCTCGTTTTCGTTATAATCGACCTCTTACTTCCCCTCTCTCATTTCTTCAATCACTTGACACTTTTTTCTTTGTTTGTTTCTTTCTTTTTCTTTCAACAATCTCTGCCTCGTTTTCGTTCAGTCTATCCTTTTCATTCCACATTTTCTAAATTTATTTCTATATTTTATTTACTTCTCTTTCATTCTATGATCTCAGTTCTATCTTACTTTCTTTTCTTTCTTTCTTTCTATCTTTCTTTCTTTCTTTCTTACTTTCTTTCTTTCTTTCTTTCTTCTCCATACATTTAATTCTTTCTTCATTTCCTTCTCCTTTATTTGTGCTATTTCCTTTTTATCTATCTTCTTTCGTTTGTATCATTCATTGTATTTTATTTGTTAATCATTTCTCAATATTCTTCTCCCATATTAAATTGGTGATATTTTTTCTTCATTAATTGTATCTTTTGCTTAATCAACGCTGGGCCATGTTTCGAGTTTTTTTTTGTTTTGTTTTTTTCATTTCTATTTTGATCCTATTTTTTCTTTCTGCTTGTCTTTCTTTCTTTTCTTCTTTTTTTTTTGTTTCTTCATTTTTTCTGTTTGTCTTTTCTTCCCTTCACCCCATCCCCGCTTTCTCTTAATCGGATATTTTATTTACTTACCTTCATTCTCCATTAACCTTTAGTAATTTTATCTTCCGTTCGCTCTTTCTCTTCACCTTCCCTTTGTTTGTTTGTTTGTTTCTTTCTTTCTTTCTTTCTTTCTTTCTTTCTATCACTCTTTCATTCTGTTACGTTTTCTGTTAATTTATCTTTGTCTTTCATTCTTTCTACCCGGTTTTCCTTTCTATCCCTTCTCGAAGACTTTATCCCCTCATTCTTCACTCCCGCTTTCTCTATTCTTGACTACATTTCCCTTTATCAAAACCGTAGCTTCCTTTCTTATGTCAACGCCGGTAAAACGACGCCATGTTGCTCAATCTCGCTCTGCCAATTATTAATTCATAGTGCAGTTTCGAGAGCATTTATAGCCACCACGCTGGTTGCATTGCTGGTCCACGTCAATCTTCATTGCCAATTTATTAAAGATTGAAGCGTTGAGTTTGCGCAAGGGTAAAAGCGGGGGAAGCCCTGCGCCGTCCAGGCAGGAAGCGAAAGTAATATGTCCCCATCATAACGAACACGGGGCTTCCGTACCCATCTCCAGTCGCAGCTTCCACCGATTCTAGACAGTGTCTATAAGTAGATATGAATTATATATTTGTGTTTGTTGGATCGGGACATTTTAACAATATGGTGAAAGTCAAGGTGGGAACAGTTATTCGCAAAGGAAAGAAAAAAAAACCATGACGACAAGGAAACAGAGGGCGTTGGCAAGTGACAATACTGATTGACAAAGATGGGATACTAGTATTATGCACCTGAATGCGGACATTTATTCACACAGGTCACAGGATAGGTACGAAGAGACTCGGATACAACGGTATGCCATAATCCCAAATAGGTAAATAGATTTGAAAAGACTGACATGCATAGACAAAAAGATAAATGATAAATACACATAGATAGATAGATAATAAATCGACTATTTTCTTATATATATATATATATATATATATATATATATATATAGTAAAAAAGGAACAACAGTAAGATATGTAATCAGGTGTTCTTGTTGATATCTTTATTTTTACAAAACAGTGCTCAATGTAAATTTACAGAGCATTTATATTATAAATTAAATGATTTAAAAATATGGTTCCCTCACTACACAGGAATTACCATCCTTCAAAAATTGGCTCGAAATTTAAACAGAACTAATGTTTTTAATTAAATATAATTGAAGTTTTTGTTTTCTGTTTTTGAAACATGGTAATTCCTGTGTAGCGATGAAACCATATTTTAAATCAGTTAATTTATAATATATATATATATATATATATATATATATATATATATATATATATATATATGAAGAAATATAGTTTTAAGGTGTGCTACATATATGGGATAAAGTGCTCAATATCAGAGATAGAGCGTATGTAAATATGAAAGTGAACATTGAAGTCAACACTCAGAGGCGACAGACTGTTTCATGCTAGACGCAATCATCATTCACTGGAGGTGTTGTAATGGTTAGAAAGCTTGTTTCGCTAGAGCAGTTACAACTGCGTAGTGAGTTCGATACTCACTGGGTACCCCATACTTTCGGCTTTCTGCCACATTTAAGCTACGCTTGAAAGAAAATCGTTATCGCTACACCACACACACACACACACACACATATATATATATATATATATATATATATATATATATATATATATATATATATATATATATATATATTCAAAGTTTAGGATCAGCTACCATGGTTTCAACCTTTAGTTATCCTCAGGTGATAATCGCCTAAGGATACCTAAAGGTTCAAACCATGGTAGCGTGAATGCTTGATCTCATATTTCTTTAAAATTTTAACGCTCACACGTTACATTTTTATTTTCTTTGTATGTATATTGAGCCCTTTTTACACAACTGTTTGCTGGTCCAATTTCACTCTGACCAATAACTTATATATATATATATATATATATATATATATATATACAGAGAGAGAGAGAGAGAGAGAGATTGGAAATGAGTGGGATCAACTGATTCATATTTATCTGTCCATTCGTCTCGGTTTCAATGTCAATGTTTACAATTTCGATATATATATATATATATATATATATATATAGTTTTAAGGTTTTCTATATTTATGTATTAAAATTTTGAAATCCAGTAATAGTGCGTATGTACATATAAAGGTGGACACTGAGGTCGACACCCAGTGGCGTCTGGTTCACGGTTAAACGCAATTATCTGTCTTGAAAATTGCTTTTGAGCATGAAACAGACTGTCGTCACTGGGAGTTTACCTGAATGTATATATATATATATATATATATATATATATATATATTGGGAGAGAGCGAGAAAGAGAGATAAAGTGAAAGAGGAAGAGGCGTGAGAGTCAGATGTAGAGAGATTTACACTATAGGCCAAACTTTTGGGGTAACCCCCTTTGATTTAATAATTAGTAAGTTTCATGCCTTCTTTGCTTTAATTAACTACTCCTAAGCTAGCATGTTGAAACTATTTAACCCGTTAGTGCAATGGTTCCCAAACGTTTTTCTAGACCACGTTTTCCGAATTAAAATTTGATCGCGCCTCACCAAATTTCATGCGATGAAAAGTACATTTAAGAATAGAAAAAGAAACAGAGAGAGGGTTAAAGGGAGGTAACCTCGGGTTTGAATTCAGAACATTGATAACTCTCTCCTCCAATTTGCGGACCCTAGTTACTACATTCTTAATACTTGATATAATGCAAAAATATCCAAATGATAAAATCGGTCAACAATTATTTATAACTATTTATACTGCGATTCATGCATGCAATTACAAGTAATCCATAATAATATTTTAAATTTTGAAATCATATTTATTTTTGGCATATGAATTTTTTGAAAGCGCTTCCAAATCATTGATTATCGTTCAATCATTACGCCTCACCTGCTATCCTCTTCTGCTGCACCGTTTGGGGACCACTGCAGTGCATTTTGTCAAATCGTTTAGAAAAGTGATTGCCTAAAATTTTGAAAAAGCCCGATTAAGATTACTATTAGCCAGCAGGATAGATTAGATAAAAAAATGAGTTAAAATTGTTAAGGAAATTTTATGCAGCCATAGGTTAATTGTATTATCATTATTATCATTGAAGATATGATGAAACTTTTAAAGAAGAGAAAGTCTCTCTTGACCCAAAGTGAACTACTAAGTCAGTGTTGAAAAGGGCGCGCAACATCCAGTTTTGGGTGACCGCAAACCTTTTTTCTTATAGTGAATTAAACGAACTACGTATGCCTAATTAATTTCTTGATCATTGTATCTTTTTCCAAATTTTAAATGTTTTACATCATGAACAATGTTGAATAGACTGTCGAATTTCATGCTTGTTCTGTTGTATATGTTCAAGTCATTTCGATCATATCAATCGTTATCAAGAAACATATGCTGTTAGTGTTGTAGACATGATTCATTTGGCTACATACTGGTATTTTTAGAGCTACTTGAATAAATACTTGCTGCCTAAATACACACACACACACACACACATATAAGTATATATTGTGCATTTAGGCAGCAATCCTTCATTTATACATGTTTCATTAAAGACGACAAACAAGGTACTGCAATTAAACGTTTTAAACCCACTGGAGTGACAGGGTGTAATAGATTTCTATTTTTTCCTCACATTAGATCATTTGCAGTGGTCTGCAGCAATATGAATCTATTTTCGGGGTGTATGATGAAATTTGTTTGGCCTTGAAAAATATAGCGTCATCCGTGATGGCATCAGATTTTTATCACCCCCAGACACTATTGTCGCGACTGTCGATTAGTTGTCCTACAGCCATTTTCTGCGATGGACGTTACTCCAAGGAAGCGTACGAAAATTGTAACGCTGCACGAACACACTGTCAATCCGTATCAGTGAGCAAATCAAAGTATTATAGAATGGCCCGGAAACCTGATTTAAATCCAATCGAGAATCTGTGGCCAATCTGCCAGGAAAGACTAAGTGGAATGAACATGTGCACTGGGTAATGTTTCATTAGAAAAATACGAAAAAAATTAATAATAACAGAATTATTTGTTTCGTTTCATTTAATTTGCACAAGGGTGTAGATTGAAATACGTCACTGTTTTTTATTGTTGAAAGAGATTTTTTTGAAGTGCCACCTTGTTATCAGTTTTGAACTATGGTTAAATTCATTTAGTCGAGTTACGAAGGAGGAAAGCTAATCACAACAACTGCCCTGAAAATGCAAAGAAAAGGCAAAGGGGAGATGCATTACAGCGGGGCGAATGTGGGTGAAGAGTAGAGATGTCTGTCAAGCATGAGACAGTGAACCAACTTTTATCTTGTCTGAACTAGAATCTATCTTACACATTTATAAGTCTACTATTCGTCCATACATTGAATATTGTTGCCATATCGGGTCTGGTGCAACTGACACATATTTAAAGAGTCTCGATAAAATCAAAAGAAGAATATGTAATGTTACTTGTCCTGACCTAGCATTTTGGTTTCAGTTACTTTCTCAACGCCTTAACATAGCTTCCCTGTGTCTTTTCTATAAACATTTTCATGGCTGATTTTTTTTATGGGCTTTATTGTTTGGTATCTCGATTTTATGAATGTAAGCGCAGTACTAGATTGGCAGCTAGGTCTCATCATATTAAAATTTAAATTTGTTAGATGTAACCGCAAGTTATATGCTACCGCTTTCTTCTCTCGCACTTCTCGCTTGTGGAATCCTCTTCTGATTTCTTGATTTATAGTCAATTATGATCTTCAAAAATTTAAATGCAAAGTCAATCATTATCTCCTGTCTTCTTCATCTCCGCCCTTTTATTGTTTTCATTCCTTGATAATATTTTTCCTTTTCTCATATTCTTTCGAGCTCAGTAACCCAGTGCGTCTTTGTGGCTTTATTACCTTACTTGTGTTGAAATGAATATTAAAATTTATTAGCAGTAGACTTAGTAGTCGACTCGTTATAAGCATTTTAGTCCATTCTGCTCAGTTTTGGGGTAGTATTCCTATGTCCACGTTTATCGCTTTTTTCAGGTAATGACGAGAATTTCCATTCTAACTGTTTACTTAAGATCATGTGAAAAATGAATATCGTGAATATTTTCTCTCCGAGTTATATGAGCTATCCATTTCAGTTGTTGCTGCTATTGGAAGTCTTCAAATGATATCTATACTGATGACCCAACCATTTATTCCTGTCTCGGTAGTAAATCTGATCAGTTCGATAAGATCAAATTGGCAACTCATATAAAAGATGACCTAGAGTCTATTGTTAACTGAGGCAAGGAATGACTTGTTAACTTTAAGGCCTCCAAAACAAAACGTCTCCCCAATAAACCCACTGAAGTGACAAAGTGTAATAGACTTCTATTTTTTCCTCAGATTAGGTCATTTGCAGTGGTGTGCAGTCATATGAATCTACTTTCGGGGTGTATGATGAAATTTTTTTGAAAAAAAAACTCTCCTGCCTTCCATCAGTATGGCTGATGCGGACCTCCAGAAAAGTGTCTCGTTGCGTCTTCTCGGGCTGGATTTCTCAGCTAACATGAAATGGAAAGACGATATTGAATCCATTGCGAGATCAGCTGCTAAGAAAATTTGGTTCACTCTGTCGTGAGAGATAATTTTTCTCTCCAAAATCTATCTTACATATTTATGAGTCTACCAATCGTCCATGCTTAGGATATTGCTGCCATATATGAGCTGGTGCTCCTGCTGTATATTTAGAGATACGTGAAAAATCCAAACAAGAGACAATATAAATATTTTCATTGAAATTGTTTAAATGTACCCTTCGTTATGGTACGTAGACTTTATGAATTTAAGCCTAGTACTAGAATGTAGGCAAAATCACATCAATTCACAGTTGAATTGGCTAGATGTAACCGTAAGTTCTACGCGAAAGATTTCTTTTCTCCCATTTCTCGCTTGTGGAATACTCTTCCGTCTTCTTCCATATTTATAAGTCTACCATTCGAGCATTCTTTGTATATTGCCACAATATATGGTCTGGTGCTCACGTCGTATATTTAGAGATTCTTGACAAAATCGAAAGAAGAATCATAGATATTATTGGTCCTGACCTTTTTTTGTCAACATCAGTCACTTTCCCCCCGCCGTATCGTAGCCTCCTCGTGCCTTCATTTTATATACTTCCATTATAATTGTTCGCATGAACCCTTCGATATACTAACTAGATTTTATTAATGTAAGCACAGTACTAGACTGGCAGCAAGGTTTCATCAATTTACAGTTGTTAGATGTTAGCGTTATTTCTATACAAAGTGTTATGGGACCTTACCCATAATAACATAATGGACTATTCCATACGTAATAAATACTGCGCCTCGACGAGGAAGCAGAGAGTTCAGTCTAAAGTCTGGTGTGAAGTCCGTCAGGAGTCTGTCAGTCAGTCAGAGCGAGCGAGTCAGTCAGTTGAGTCAATCCGAAACATAGTGGCGTTCAGACAATTACTACTAAACCTGATTGTTCGTACTAACACTTCTACTTCTCTGTATATATTCCTGTTTGTAATATATCTGTGTTATTCCATACCTGTGTTTGAGTTCTTCTTTATTGGTTCTACCTTGGACTATCACCGTGGTACAAGGAACCGGACCATAACACTAAGTTTCTTTCCTCGTGGTTCACGCTGGTGGAACTGTATTCAGGCTCCATGCTTTTCAGCCAGCAAAAATGTAAATACAATCGTTATCTACTCTCTTCTTCATGCTTTTTCTTTTATTTTTCTCGCTCTTTAACAATTGTTTCTCTTTTTTTTCCTTATTCTTTCACACTCAGTAACCTCTCGTGTTTTAGTTGTTTTACTGCCATGCACGAGATGATATGATGAAAAAAAAGGTGTTTTCTATTAATTAGTATAGTGCTTTCCTTGTGATTCTGTAGCGCCAGTACACAAGATTTGAAGAAATATGATCTTCGTTAAGATGTACAGACTTCACTTGCTCGGTCATGTTGAATCACTGAACTGAGAAAAAAGTTGCATGTAGCTGATAGCTTAAAAATTTCTCGACTAGTTAGACACCCTGCATAACATCTATGCCAGTGTCTAGATCTGACGAGATAATTTTAAAACAAGCCTCCTCTTCTTATGTTAATGTTTTCGTTTTGAGGTAACTTGTGGTATTGGGCGAAACTGCCCCTAGCGCAGTTCAGTTTCCTTATCTCCAATACTAACTCTTCTACAGATGTATTTGGCGTATGTGGTATTAATTTATTAATTCTAGATTTTTATGATTTATTCAGAGTATGTGCCATATTGGCTTTCATTTAAATTCTAGATTGTATTTCCTCTTTTAGAAAGTCCTACTTCTTGGGGTAGTTCGCAAAGAATGTTGATTTACAGCCCAAATATGGACAAGGGTGACTGCATTCCTGTGATCTTCCGAATTGATACGTTCAGCTTGCGAACTCCCATTGAAAATCAGCATTGGGGCTCTGATTTTTCCTTAGCTCGGACAGATTTGCAAACAGAACTATTTATATGCATTTCGCACTAATACTCTTGGGAAAGGAATGAACACACTTCTATTCCCAACTATGGTTAGATAGTAGGAAAGTTGAATATATTTAAGCTTGAATTTATGGTATTGACGTATACTGGCATTCTAATAAAGATCATAGTTTCTGCTTCTGAAAAGTATGTCATGCTTCTTGGAAAATCTGGAAAACACTTGAATATTAGTATATAATGAAAATGTTACAATATTTGGCTTATAGCAAATTGCATCCCGGAATCCAAAAGGAAGGATAGATAGATAGATAGATAGATAGATAGATAGATAGATAGATAGAATAGATAGGCAAATGAGATAAAAAGATACATTGCAAAAATAGATACATTACAGAAGTAGATAGATAGATAGATAGATAGATAGATAGATAGATAGATAGATAGATAGATAGAAACAGGATGAGAATGAAACTAGATATGAACAGACTGATATAGATAGATGGGCAAAATCAGAGAGATAGGTAGAAATAAACAGGCTGAAAGTGATAGATAGATAGATAGATAGATAATAGATAGATAGATAGATAGATAGATAGATGCATACATACATACATGCATACATACGAATAGAATGAAATATGAACCTAGGTAGCTATTGTAAGCGTAATAGTTCTTATATAGTATGGATTATATATATATATATATATATATATATATATATATATAATATTATAGATACGCATTTGTACAGCGACGCAAATCTGTCAGTTGCATTTTGCCCAAAGATGTAGTCCTTTAAATTCTTTCTCTTCTTAGTCAGTTTTCTCGCCTCGTCTTATACCTTTATCATCTTTCGCGTTGCACATGCGCACTTCCGTACGACACCGTCCCACCCAACCTCGCATCTTCGTGATTGGTATCGATTCTTTCAGTTTCGACTCGGCATCAAACTCGCCGACTCCGACGTCAAACGAACGGCCGTTACCATAACAACAGATACAACATAGACAAGCGAATTTCAATTTTTAGAACCAACTTCGACCGACGTTTGTCGTACAACGAAAGGAGATGATTTACGAAAACCATCGCAGATTCCCCGTCGACTACTATTCCTCGCTACCCTTGTGGTAGATGCATCCTTTCTCTACACACCAACCCACCTTCATCGCCCATGCTGCTTTCCCGCCCCCCCCCACTTTGCTTTGCCTTACTATTCGTTTTGTCGCCCACAATTGACGTTCGTGCATACTAATACCGATGCAAAATGTAATCGATGAAGACGATTATATTGACATGTAAACAAGTAGGAAGGTTTAAGAAAAAGGATAGATAGATAGATAGATAGATAGATAGATAGATAGATACTCACAGAATGAGATACATATGAAAGAACTTGATAGATAGATAGATAGATAGATAGATAGATATGAACAGACTCAGATATGAAAAGAATTTTGATAGATAAATAGATATGAACAGAGTGAGATAGATATGAAACGAACTGAGATAGATAGATAGATAGATAGATAGATAGATAGATAGATAGATAGATATTCACAGAACGAGATACGTATGAAAGAACTTAGATAGATAAATAGATAGATAGATAGATAGATAGATAGATAGATAGATAGATAGATATGAACATGAATTTAGATAGATAGATAGATAGATAGATAGATATGAAATGAATTTAGATAGATAGATAGATAGATCTGATGAGGAACCTATGCAGAAAAGTGATATGAATTGCTTCATAGACTAAGATATTTACGTATGTACCTCAAAAATGACATATTCTCGCATCGACTGACATTGACAAACGACTACATATATGCATATCCACATTTACATATCATATATATATATGTGTGTATGTGTGTATGCGCGCGCGCATTCGCGTATATATTTGTGTGTATTATAAATACCTCCACTGATTTGCTAAATAATTAACATACCATTGTGAAAAACTGCTCCAAAACTAATGAAAACATAAAATTCTACTCAAAATCTTTATGTGATTATTATGAGAAAAGACCAAGATATTTTATCATTATGAAATTATATTTTTTTTATTCTTTTTAAAACGTTGGAAATTTTGTCTAAAAATCTTGTTTTTCTTGTGTCAGCAGGTGGGTCAGAGATTAGTATTGAAAATGTCAGCGTCATTTTGGCGGTAAAAAAAATCATTCATTTTGAAATTCTTGCAAGAATCAAAATAATTTTGATCCGCTTAAAGTTTATCTCTATCTATAAAAAGCGGGATGCGTGTGTGCGTGTAACGAATGCATGGCCGCAATTTTCGACGGATTTGCACCAAAATTTACATGCACATGCTCCAAGTTAGCGGGAAGGCCAAGACCGACTTTGCATTTCCCAACTCTCATCGATAGTGGAAATAATCGATTTTTTCATGCTTCTACGGCGGTTTTCATGTAGTTTGCGGCCATTTTCTACTGGCCAGAGTGAAAGTCGGCTGGCTGCCACGAATAGGCAGAAAGATTCTATTGCCCAGCGTGAGCCAACAGCTGACTGACACGAATGTTAACTAGCATGCTAGCATGCAAAAAAAATCGATAGCTGCATTCGTCACAAGTGGGAAAAATTTAAATCTGCATGGCACTTTACCCCAATTGGCTCATTCGCTTGCTTAAACTCAACGTTGATTCTGATTCCGCAGAACTGGGTTCGGTGTGAAAAAAAACTGTTTGTTGTTAACATTCTTTTTTTCATTCGGTTTTTCCAGTTACGAGTCCTTTTTTAAAGCTGATCGTTTTGTGTTCATTTTGTTTAGTTTAGTTTTTTTCGTAACAGATCTAATGTTTAGTATAGAGCTTAGAAAAAATTCGCAGTATGAGAGGGCAAGAAGTAAGGCATGTAGCAACATCAGCACGGCAAAGGGCACTCCTTTAAAGGCAAGGAAGGGCAAAAATATTTTAAGTCAAGTGATAGCGATTGCTGTATGACTCGTATGATTTTTGAATCAACCACGGGCAACGCCGGGACATGCTGCTAGTATTAGTTAAAAGTAGATGTAATTGGAGAATTTAAATCATCAATTTTTTTTTTGCAAAACAAGACGTCCAGTTACCAAAAATCTTCTCTGAATCGTAAAATAAAAAAATTTAATAAAAATAAGACATTATTTATTTAGAAAAGATTTTAATTATTTCACGAATAAGATATTTTATGGACATTATTGTCTTAAGAAAAATATTCAATAAATACACACATACATTCCTATATATATATATATATATATATATATATATATATATATATATATATTTTATATCAGAAGGGAAGAGAAAATAATATATTATATAAAAAACAAAATCTTAAATTCGAAATTTAATTCATTATAATTATAGAATACGACTTATACACACATATACAGACACATAATCATATATACAAATTCATATATATATATATATGTATATATATATATATATAAATATATAACACGCGAAACGACACATAAAAAAATTCAAAAAATAGCGTTTTGACTCGAAACGCTTTTCTTACCAATTTGAAAATTCTTCCTCGTCCATAACAAATATTACTCTACTACAATCAATGAATAAGAAAAGGATAAAAGAATAAAATTATTGGCAAATGTTGTTAGAATGTTTGAATGATAAATGATAGGGAAAGAAATCGACGAGACTGAACCAATAGTAAATGATAAAGAAAACAAACTTTATTTCATACAATTTCAAAATTAATGTTTGAATTTCTAAAAGAATTGTTACCATTTTTTAATTAGAATAATTTATAGTTTAAATCTTTTTTAAAATTATGTCTTAATTCTTCCCGGTGAGGTGATATTACTAAGTAAAAATTATATTTCCTAATAAATTGAAAAGCTTATTACAATTTGGTGATCACAACTATTTTAAAAAGAATTTAGATTTTTTTTTCGTGTATATATAGACAGGCCTATTTTTGTAAATACGAACGTCTATAATCGACATGATCTGAAAATAAGAGCGATAACTAATCTAAATTTCTAGCCAAGGAACTGAAATTCAATAGAACGTTAAATTACGTAAAATAATTTCCTAAATTTTAAAGATTTACTGAGTAGATAAAAACTATACAATAATTCACTTACATTATATTCGTCAAGTGATTTTTACAGATATGTTTTCTTTAATCGACAACAGCCTAAGAAAGGCAATAAAGCCACTAAAACGCTAGGCGTTACAAAATGTGCAAATATTAGGAACAGAAACCTTAATAATGAGGAGAAAAAGAAAAAGGTAGTCAGGAAGACAGGAGATTGTGATTGGCATTTTTGCAGATTAAAGTTGGCTGGAAAACATGGAGCCAGAAGGGAGATCCACAAGTGAGAAGTGCGAGAAAAGAAACTGTTAGCATAGAACTAACGGCTACGTCTAGCCATTTCAGCTGTTAATTGATGAGGACTCGAGTCCAGTTTAATCAGTCAGTTATGTGTCATGCGTGATACCCAATTAGGCGATCATGTATCTTTCGATACATAAATGACGAGGCAGATTTTTTACCCGCAGTAGGTTGCCATTTCTTTCTGCGGTAAACCAGTTACCATCCAAGGCAACTCGGTTTGCCCTGCTATTAACCCATAGCTCGGGGGAGAAGAAGTTATTAGCATATAAGTGAATGTAATGGATTCAACTGAATTCGAACTCGGCTCTCCGATTCCTCAGTCCGAGCCGTTACACCACCATGTACTGCGCTTAAATTCCTCCACCGTAAAAACAAAATTAGATAAACTTCCGTCTGTCAGTGAAGGTGTCAACACCTTAAATAAATAACTATTGCCGTGTAAAAAAGTATTTCTGTGATATTTAAAACTTAAAAGTAAGTAATATTTGTTCAAATCAGATTAATTAAACTTTAGATCAGTCAATATTCCCCAAATAAAGATTCGGAAAAGTACATTTTATTTTTGAAAGAATTTTTTTTTTTAATAAAGTGTATTACATCGTGATGGTAGATGGCTAACGTGGAGATAAAATCTTCCATGTTAGCAATTTCAAAACGAAAACGCCTTCTATTCAATTTAAAATAATTTTGAAAAATAGAAAAATATGTGGCTTATTGAAAATATTGATTTTAATCTATTAGCTTGAAATTAAAACTAAAATGAAAAATTCAAGAAAGAATTATCATTTTCGTTTTTAAAAATGTATTTTAAACCTTAGGTAACGCGTTTCTGTGGAGGAACACACACACATATGTATATATATATGTATGCATAATACTAGCGACCAACTCTGTCACGTCAACTATCCAGAACAACCTATCCCATCTAAATAATCTTAAAATAATCACACATACTTCCAAAACCATTATGGATATACTCAGATCCTCAAATACTAATAGCAATATTTCTGAAGCAGGCATTTATAAAATAAATTGCCAAATCTGTTCCTCCCAATATATTGGAGAAACAAGTAGAAATGTTTTTAAAAAAAACGCATTTATGTGCACAAAAAAGACCTAGCAAAAAACAACTCGTGCACTAGTCATACATTGAAATAAATTCAACCACAATTTTGATTTTAAAAATGCTACACTCCTAAAAAAAAAATAACTAACTCAGAAGGAAAATCCTCGTGAGTGCCGCCATTGAATATATATATATATATATATATATATATATATATATATATATATATATATATATATTGAACAATAAAAAAAATATTAAAAATTAAAATCTTCAGACACACTGGGTTGTAGATTAATATTCTTTCGTTTTTTATTATTATTATTTCATTTAGATTCCTCGACTAGTTTCGGCCAAAATGGCCATCATCGGGTGAAGAAATATTTCTGCTTGCTGGTAGCAGTAAACTGGAGAAAATTATAATTTATAATCGTGTTTTCGATGATGCAATAACTTTTTTCTTTGATATATATATATATATATATATATATATATATATATATATATATATATATATATATATATATATATATATATCAAAGAAAAAAAAGTTAATGCATCGAAAACACGATTATAAATTAGAATTTTTTTTCAACAACTAAGTTTATAATAAACATACCGAAATACAAATGGTTTAAATTTACAAAATGGTTTAAATTTATCCCCGTAATATTTTTTTTTTAAAAAGGAAACAACAAGAAGTCTAAAGGCTTGACCTAGAGAATCTATTTTCTGGGAATTTATGTTATTGAAGGATGGAGCGGGAGGAGGCACTGACAACCCAATGTTCATGTGTGGTGTTTGGTAGAATACAAGTAACAGCTAGAGAAATATATTGAATAAAAATCCATCATGATAGAGATACACACACATACACACACACACACACACACACACACACACACATATATATATATATATATATATATATATATATATATATATATATATATATATATAAAGAAAAGGAGAATATAAAATAATTAAAAATATAATGACTGATTGAAAATAATTGAAATAAAAAAAATTGAATATATAATAAATATATATATATATATATATATATATATATATATATATATATATATATACGTACAAATATACACACACATACATTCATATATATATATATATATATATATATATATATATATATATATACATGTTTATATCAGAAGGGAAGTGAAAATAATATATTATATAAAAAACAAAATCTTAAATTCGAAATCTAATTAATCATAATTATAGAATATACTTTACATGCACATATACAGACACATAATCATATATATATATATATATATATATATATATGTGTGTG